TTTTTTTATAATATAAGGTGGCAAACGAGCAAGCGGCAACCTGAATCCACCGAAATGGAAAGCGACCGCTGCCCATAAACATCTGCAATAGCAGATGCGTTGCCTACCCTTAATTGACGGATGAGACGCACATAAACAGGACTTTTCCTTCCTATGCGTCTTCTCCACAGTCAAGTCCACTTTTCCTTCCCATCCTTTCCTCTCAAGAAAAGGGTGGAAAGGGAAAAGGATTAAAATTAGGCCTCCGGCACCACACTCATCAGACGAAACGCGGAATTGCTTTCAAACTTCCTTTGTCATTAAAATAATGTTGTTGAAAAACAACGAACTGTTCAATTTTACACGCGCACAAAATGAACAAAAACAAAGTAACCAACCGTGTAAGATACATCAACGAAACTATGCGGTAAAATGCTAACTGATTAATTACTAGCTTTCGCCCGCGACTCCGTAGGCGTGGAATAAAAAAAAAACAAAAATAAGTAGCCTATGTGTTCTTTCAGACTATACTCTACATCTATGCCAAATTTCATCGAGATCCGTTCACCAATTTAGGGTAAAAACTCTAACAAACATCCATCTAAACTTTCGCATTTATAATATTAGTAAGTATGATTATAGCTTAATAAGTTACATACCTTATAATTATCGAATCCTTTTAAATGTTTTCCAGATAAATATTTGTATTCAAACATTGTTTTACTTCCTAACGCACTGATTTAAATAAACACAGTAAACACACGCACTACACAAGGTCTCGTTCAACAAGTTTTTTTGTGTTATAAAATTTAATGAACAAAATAATTTTAGAAGGAATTTGAACACTAAAACAATACGATAGAGTGTAATTTACAATGCATGTTTTAAAATAGGTTATTTTATGTATCAACACGTTGTTAATATACAAAAGTATACGAATAAATGAATCATTTTGATAGTATTATCTATCTATATAATAAAATTGGAGTGTCTGTAATATCAAAAGAAAAATTCCAGAAATCAGGAAGATGATTTGTGGTGCTGATAACTAAAATTGTTGTCTGTCTGTCTGTCAGCAAGCCGCGTTTGTTTCGGGTAATCTCCGAAACAGCTGGGCCGATTTTGACCGGACTTTCACTGAAGGGTAGCTGACATAGACGGGCATATTATAGGATTTTTGTATCTTAATATTGCGCGAACGAAACCGCGGGCAACAGCTAGTAAACAAATTTGCTGGTATATCTTATCAATAGGTCAGGGGTGGCGAACATTTATGCACCAAATGCCATTTTTTAATGAAATGTTTAATGCGGTCTTATACGTGCCATCGAATTTAAATGCGATACGTCATTTCCTCAATGTGCCTACTTCATAATATTTTTTCTCGTAGTATTTTTATAATTATCGACGTGCACAAAATATTATATCGTGTGCCAGTGGTTCGCCACCCCTGCAATTGGTTATACTTCGACTCTGTCTTGAATTTACTCAGTTCGTCTGTATGTTTAATTTTTTTCAATTCCGCGACGGCGTCGCGGGCAAAACCTAATATCTGATATAACTGATAAGGTATTTTATCTGTATTAAAAATAATGCACCCGACGATTAGCAACAAATATGTATGTTATCTATCTACAACTCACTTGAAATACGAGGACACGACGTATTGATAAGAAAATGATACGCTATATTTACCACATCAATAACATGCTTTCCCTTCGAGTCGAGAATTAAAAACAAAAGCCTGTGTGTTCTTCCAGATGCCCTACATCTATGACAATTTAGATCTGTTCAGCAGTTTAGGCTACAAACTAACAAACATCCATAAAAACTTTCACATTTACAAATTACATCATCCTCCTTATCCTACTCTCCTCCACATAACTCTATTATACGACATCTCAGTCACTCCCTTTTTGATCATGTCACCTTTCACACAATCCATCTCTTTCTATGTCTACCTCTACCGGTGTACCACATTCATAACTAACGTCCTTCTTGTTACATGCGATTCAACCCTCCTCGTAACATGCCCCCATGCTAACCTTTATTTTAGTAAGATTTATCAAAATTCGATAGTAATAAAAAATCGTTTTTTGTCATATATTACAAATAATTTAGATGTAATAAGTTTCCAGTTCTCCTCATTTCCAGTGTCAGTCCTCAATTCATCTAGAGTGATAGTGTCCGCTTTAATATCTTAGCACTGCAGGGCACGCCCGGTGTAATACCACGACCACACAGAAAATAGGCGTGAAATGGAAACAATTCCGTGTTTCGTCTGATGAGTGTGATGCTGGAGGCCTAATTTAAGTCCCTTACTCCTTACCACCCTTTTCTATTAAGAAGAGGATGGGAAGGGAAGTGGATTTGACAGTGGAGGAGATGCATAGGAAGAGGAAATATCCTCTTTATGTGCGTCTCTTCCTCTGTCAGATATGGGTAGGCAACGCATCTGCATTTGCGGATGTTTATGAGCAGCGGTCACTTCGCCATTTTGGCGGATTCAGGTGGCCGCTTGCTCGTTTGCCACCTTATGTTATAAAGAAAAAACCCTGGGCGTCGCCAGGGGGACAGGGGATCCCCCATCTTCTTACTCCAACTGGCTACGCCAATAACTCATTTCTTTAAATGTCTTTACATCGAATACTTAGTCCTCTAAAACCTATACCAATCTTTATTGTTATTTAGGTATTCTATATAAAATGGCCATTATCTAAGGCTTCCTATACACGTTAAATGTAACCATAATATGTATCGTAAGTCCTAATGCAGTTAATTGAGTGCAGTGGTGCAGCGAACAATTAGCCGAGGCACTAATTGTGTCCGCGACGCGCCCGCGCGTTACTGTGACAAACGGCCTGCGCCTGCGCAGCCCGACAGCTGTTAATTTGACGCGATGCATAGAGTAATTATAAATAGAGATTGCGGACATTTTTAATAAACAATTGACGGTACTTGTATAACCTCTATGTGAAGTTGTGAGGATATAAAAAAGTATTAAAGTAGGAGAAAGTATGGATGGATTGTGGCAAAAAGGATATGCTGAGGAATGGAGTGGATTCAGATATGACGGCTGATAGAGATAGAGAAGAGCAGCTTCTGTAATTTTAAGCACACTTTTACTCTAGTGTTGAATTAAAATGATAGTTTAACTAGGTTTCGCCCGCGACTCCGTTTGTGTGGAATTATAAAACAAAAGTGACTAGCCTGTGTGCTCTTCCAGACTATCGTATACATCTATACCTAATTTCATCGTAATCCATTCAGCCGTTTAGGCTACAAACTCTTACAAATATCCATCTATACATCTGAACTTTCGTATTTATGTTATTAGTAAGA